TGGCCTGGGGAAAGGTTGGGAGGGAGGGGCTAAAGGAGTTTTGTATGCAAGGGGCTTGGACTTCCAGCAAGCTTGCATGAGCGATTTGATAGGAGTGAATGGAGGCAAAGGGTTTTTTTAATATGGGGCGTGCTTGTTGGAGTGGAGCAAAGTAACATTTATGAAGGGGTTCAGGGAAACCGGCAGGCCGGACTTGAGCCCTGGAGATGGGAAGTACAGTGCCTGCACTCTGAAGGAGGGGTGTTAATGTTGCAGTTTTGTAACTGTGTTTTAAAGCCCCCTTCTGGCAAGACAGTGATGAAGTGAATAATGAAAGTTTTTCTTTTTTCGGGCCACCCTGCCTTGGTGGGGAATGGGCCCGATGTGTTTACTAAATACTAATATTACTACTACTTCTACTACTACTACTACTAATAATAATAATAATATTATCTTTATTTACTACAAGTACATGTAAGGTATACAGTCCTAGTGATGTAAATTTGACATATTACTATATAGAAGCCACTTGTTATGCAGAGCATTCGGAAATTATGTCAGTTTTGTCTCAGAAAACAACCCCCCACAGTCCACTAACCCCCAGGTACCATTTTACTGATACCTAGATTTATACCTTGAGAGAGTTCCGTGGTCAACGCCCCCGCGGCCCTGTCGTGATCAGGCCTCACGGTGGATCAGGGTCTAATCAACCAGGCTGTTACTTTTGGCCGGTCGCAATCCAATGTACGAACCACAGCTCGGCTGATCAGGTACTGACTTTGGGTCCCTGTCCAGTACCTGCTTGAAGACAGCCAGGGGTCGCTTGGTAATCCCCCTTATGTATGCTGGGAGGCAGTTAAACAGTCTTGGGCCGCTGACACTTATTGTGTTATCTCTTTTCGCGCTAGTGGAACCCTGCTTTCACTGGGGGGATTTTTACATCGCCTGCCTAGTCTTTTGCTTTCGTAGGGAGTGATTTTCGTGTGCAAGTATGGTACTAATCCTTCTAAGATTTTCCAAGTGTATATAATCATGTATCTCTCCCGCCTGCATTGTAGGGAGTACAGGTTGAGGAACTTCAAGAGTTCCCAGTAAATGAGGTGTTTTATCTCCGTTATGCGCGCCGTGAAGTTTCTCTGTACATTTTCTAGGTCAGCATTTTCACCTGCCTTGAAAGATGCTGTTAGTGTGCAGCAATATTCCAGCCTAGATAGAACAAGAGACCTGAAGAGTGTCATCATTGGCGATTGGTGAACATAGACAACCGGTGTAAAGAAACAAGTCCAGTGTGTTTACCCTCATTAGGAATCGAACCTAGAGCCTCGCTAGGGGAACTGGAGCTGTAGCCACCAGGCCACAGGGCACTGTTAAGGAAAACGAGTCAGGGCAAACTTACCTACTGCTCCAAGAAGAGCAAACCCCCGCCCTAATTGCCTTTTTGGAACCTGACACCTATAACAAATCCAGAACATTCACATAAGAATCAGGATTTAGAGTGTGCATGATAGCGTTAATTACAAATGAACTGGGCTTGAATAACCCACAGCTACTATTAAATAACAAAAGTTTATTTGGTTTAATAATTGTAGACTCAAAAATATTTCTTTCTGGCCATGAAGTACATGGAAAAATGGCCTTTGCCACAGATCATGTAGTGGGATTATTACAAGCTCATTTGTGGTTGAATATTGTATTAGATTTTTGAGCCTTCCTTACTGAGTACTGGTATTGTGTAGTACTAACCTTCAGAGGTTTGCCAGTCTGCCTAACATTGGAAAGTGTGCATACCTGGCAACCCATCCTGTACACACAACCTATACCCTGTTTTGGAGAATTCTTGATTAAATGATAAATTCTCTGAATATGGTAAAACATACACATTCTTATTATGAGGGGATTATTCTACGTTCAGTCAGTTGATAAATTTTTCTAGCTGCCAACAAAGCAGTCTCTACAAACTCCTTAGGGTAACAGTTTTGTAGCAATGTCAAAGATTTTCCAAATTTCCTCATCCAAGAACTCAGGGCTACACACTCTGTAATCTCTCATACACATAGTAAGGAAGGCACTTCTTTTTACTTTGGTTTCTTGGTTGGAATAATAGTGGATATATGAACACACGTTTGTGGCCTTCCTATATTCTGTAAACTTAAACATTCTATTAAGTTCCAAATAATTCGGCCAAAGACACAAGATATCATCGACATATTTGAACCACTTAGGGGCGACCACCACACTAAACGGTGTACTTACTTCATTGCTTATCTACTGATGTCTTTCATTTTTGGTGAACTTTATGAAGCATACATTATCTAAACATTAAGTTTCAATAAGATAGTCCCAAAAAACAACTGATAAAAATTATTTACTGAAAATGACATTAGGCAGCTACGAAAAGTTGTTTGGGGACTTACTAATGATAAAACAATGCTAATCCGATTTTCTCATGGATGCAAATATTGTAAATATCTTTATTACAAACCAAAAAAAAAATGAACTTGGTAGGTTTTTTGACATTTAGCAAAATATTTGCCCTTCAACCCCCCCTCACAAATCCCAAAATATTTGGGATATTTCAAAAATTCAGCCACCAGTTAATAAAACATTTATTGCTTTATGCTCACTGTGAAAATCATTTCAAATAATTCTTTTTTAATGGAGCACTTACAAGAAATAAGTGAATAACTTCTGAGATATTCAGTGAAAATGTATGCATAGCTGGTACGTAGAATGTTTTTTTTTTTTCACAGAATGCTCAATAGAGGAGACAATGAATTTCCCATAGTCATTCTCTGCCGTTGAGAGTAATACTTCCCTTCAAACTCAAACTTGCAATCAATCACACACAACATACTCAACCCAATAATAATGTTATCAAATAGCATGGGGAACTCATCTAGTTCTTCTTCCACATACGCTAACAAATCAGGGACTGGTACAAAGGTGAACAAACCTGTGACGTCAAAACTTACTGGCGTAAAATCATTAGGCATGTTAAAATTTCGCAATTTATCAATGAGATCAACATTGTTTTTATTGTGAGCTTCCAAGATGTTGCCGAGTAATGGAGTTAATATTTTTACCAGCCATTTTGACAAAGCATAGGCCGCCCATCCTACAGAGCTAATAATAGGTTTCACTGTTTTCAAAGCTAGGTTTGTGTATTGTAATCAATCCGTACCTTACCGATAACTGTTTAATCAGAGCCTCATTACCTTTCAATAAGGTTCTAACTTATTTATTAAACTCACTATTAACCTGATCCATTGGGTTCATATTAATAGGAACCCACTGGATCAGGTTAATAGTAAGTTTAATAAACATACAGGCAAACCTCTAATGGTTAGAATTAGACAATGCCAATACTCAGTAAAGACGGCTCAAGAATCTAATGCAATATTCAACCACACGTGAGTCTTCAATAATCCGACTAAGTGGTCTGAGGCAAAGGTCATTGTTCCATGTACTTCACGGCCAGAAAGAAATATTTTTGAGCCTGCAGTTATTAAACATGATAAACTTTTGTTATTTATTGGTAGTTGTGGGTCATTCAAGCTTGATTCGTTTAATGAGGCTATCGTGCACAGTCTAAAATCCTGATTCTTATATGAATGTTTAAGGTGTCAGGGTTCCACGAATAGGAATTAGGGTTGGAGTTGCTCTTCTTGGCGAGGCTTGACCTTTTGTCTACCCACTGGGTGAGTTTGCCTTTGACTCGTTTTCCTTGTGTGGAATTTTCCCTAAGCCAAATGCCAGACACAGCTTTTTTCAGAATGTAAAGTACTTATATTTCTGAAGCTTGACTGATAATTTTGATAGCCATTATGTTACCATTGCTAATTTTGCTTGTGGGCTGACTATCTTCGGTTCCTATAATGCTTAATCTTTTTGGCACTGAGCACATGTGTGCCTGGAAACTGGGTACTCTCCTCCTACTCTCAGACTTAACAAAGCGCCTCTCAGAACGAATCTGCTGAGATTTTCCTACTCATTTCTGGAGCTTTGCAAGCTCCTGATGATGCGTTAAAAGTCCTAGAGATATTATTCAACTCCCCCTGTGATTGTTTTGCATACTTCCATATCTGTTTAAAATTTTGTCACCACCCTGCAATATTCTTCTTGCGTATTAACAGGGTGGCGGCTGGTTGGGAAACCCTCAGAATTTCTGCACTGGGGAGGTTTAGTGTTCTATTTGAGTGGAAGGAGGGACTAGGGGACTATGCTTGTAAACACAGTCTATATTAAAGTTCAATAAATTAACAAATTTTATTGAGATCCTTTTATTCACACTTTATCTAAGAGGTAGAAAATAATTCTCATTATCAAAGAAAAAGAAAAACAATTACATGAAACTATTTAAAAATAATGTTCACCTTAGCCTTATTATTGTAATGATATATAACTAAAACATAACGAGAAGCTCAGGGTAACTAAACAATTAAAACAATGTTATTCACCTGTTTTTGTTAGGAGGCAAAATTATCAACAATTCCTTTAAAATTCATACTTTTGGCTCTTTTCGAATTTATAGATACAATGGACCCTTGAATTTCGTCCCCCTTGAATATCGTGAATTTTGGAAATCATCGACTTTTTGCGTCAAAATATTGGTTCGTTTTTCGTGATTTGGCTTAGTAATTGGTGGTCGTATGGAACGCCTCCTGGTAATAGACATTGCTCCAGCTCATCCTCCAGATTTGGTAGAGCAAGTGGTGAAGGAGTTTAATTTCATCACAGTGAAGTTCTTGCCCCCTAATGCCACCCCTCTCCTCCACCCCATGGACCAGCAGATCATGTCAAACTTCAAAAAACTCTACACCAAAGCAACGTTTCAATGGTGCTTTAACATAACCTCGGACTCTGAATTGACCCTAAGAGAGTTCTGGAAAGATCACTTCAATATCCTCCATTTCATTAACCTTATAGGTAAGGCTTGGCAGGGAGTGACTTCCAGGACGAAGAACTCTGCTTGGAGAAAATTGTGGCCAGAATGTATCCACGACAAAGATTTTGAAGAGTTTAAGGCTGACCCTGACAACCCTATGTCAGTTGTGGAACCTACTGTGGCATTGGGGAAGTCATGGGGGTTGGAGGTTAGTGGCGAGGATGTGGAAGAGTTGGTGGAGGACCACAATGAAGAACTAACCACAGAAGAGCTGCTAGACCTTAATCTGCAACAGCAACAGACCACAGCTCATGAAATTGCTTCAGAGGAGGAGGAAGAGAGAGGGAAGAAGTTGCTTTCTCCAGAGATTAAGGAGATGTATGCAATGTGGACTAAGATGGAAAGATTTGCGGAGGAACATCACCCTGACAAAGCTGTTGCAGGTTGTGTATGCGACATGTTCAATGACAATGTCTTTCTGGAACAATTTTTTGAGCGACAGGGGTCCAGTGACTCTCAAGCTGGTCCTAGTGGCATTAAAAAACAAAGAAGGGAAGTAACCCCGGAAAGGACTTGGTACCTGAAGTCTTCATGGAAGGGGATTCCCCTTCCAAACAACAGTAACTCTTACATCCTCTCCCGTCTTCCCGTCTTCCACACATCAACAACTCTTCAATACAGGCAAGTGTCAAGTTATTATTGTTTTATTCTTCATGTCTCATTGTTTTCTGTGTAGATAAATGTACATTTAATGTAAAAAAATATTTGTTTTAATGCTTTTTGGGTGTCTGGAATGGAGTAATATGATTTAAATGATTTCTTATGGGGAAAATGGTTTTGAAAATCGTGAATTTTGAATTTCGTCAGACTCTCTGGAACGGATTTTTATTTATTTATTTATTTATTATAAATTTGTGCACACATACAGAGGTACAAAAAAAAAAATACAGATAAGAGCAGTATGCCAAAGCCACTTATACTATGCATAGCATTACGGGCTGGCTTAAAATTAACTTAAGATTAACTAAGCAATGATGAAGTCAGTGATAAAACATTTAAAGTAAAAAAAATTA